GTAACCACAGAGGAAATACCTCAAGTATATAATCAAACAGAAATGAACAAGGGATGTAAATGTTCCACTACAAAAATCAACTAAACACAAAAGAATACAGCGATGCAGGAAATGAGGAACAAAAAGGATATAAGGAACAAGGTGTGATCAAAAGATACAGTGAATGTTTAAATTTTTTAAATTATTACAATAAGAGACACAATTTCTGTCAAGTAAAAACATTATGGTGTGTCTTCATCCACCTTATTCACGGATCTGGCACCATGTGACTTCTGCCTCTTCCCCAAAGTCAAAATGACCATGAATGGTAAATGTTTTTAATCGATTAAGGACATCAAGGCAGCCACGACAGCACAACTAAAGACACTCACGAAAGAGGACTTCCAGAGCTGCTTCAGAAAGTAGCAAGAACAATGGGATAAGTGTGTTCAAAGTGAGGGGGAGTATTTTGAGGAGGATTAATGGCAATGTGTCTTTTTTAAATGTAATACATTTTTTTTAATTTAAACATTCACTGTATTTTTTTATCACACCTCATATATAGAAAACAATGGTAAAATGACAGAAGTAAGCGTCTCCTTATCAGTAGTTACTTTAATTGTAAATGAATTAAACCCTCCAGTCAAAAGACAAAGACTGAGAGAATGAATTTTTTAAAAACATGATTCAACTATATGCTGTCTATAAGAGATTTACTTTAGATCCAAAGACACAAATTGAAAGTGAAGGTGAAAGGATGGAAAAGGTTATTCCATGCAACTAGGAACCAAAAGAATGCAGGGGTGGCCGTACTAATATCAGAGAAAATGGACTTCAATAAAAACCAGTGACAAGAAACGAAGAAAGACATTATATATTAATAAAAGGTTCAACACAGCAAGAAGATGTGACAATTATAAACATTTACATACATAACAGTGGGCCATCAAAATGTTTAAACCTTAAGAATGTGAAATCGTGCTTGTGCGTTGGGAGGACTGCTTCCTGGCTCCTGGTCTGTTTTCACTCTGCTCATGTCGCTTTTGCTGTAAGGAAAGTCCTACGTGGCAGCCCAGTTATCAGGAGTGTGAACCTGGAACCAAGCTGCCTGGGTTTGGACCTCAGCTATTAACTGAGTGCCTCGGACCAATTACCTACACTTACTCTCAGTTTCCCCATCTGTGAGATGGGTATTATTAGTCTGAGGGCTGTTGTGAGTCTTAATGAAGAGATGTAGCTTAGTGTCTGGCGCAGAGTCATCACAGAAGGTATTTTATTGTCCTTTCATCCTTTCTGCTTTTTTTGAAGATTCTTTGGTCCATGCTTTGCACTCAGTTACTCACTTCTCCTAGAATGTGTTTGGGTGCCCTGGGTGA